TTTTATTAATACAATAAATAATGAGCTGTTATTTACGTTGTTTTTATATAATGTTGGTTTACACTTATCAATATATATATATATATTTTTAGAAAATATTTTTCCTTTATTATATGTAGATTACGATTTGTCTGTTGGTAATGTATACAGTGGTCATTGAGGTAATTGTTTTAAATAATATCCTGCCTTTATTTATCTTCAAGAAATGTAACATCTTTTGAGAGATTAATAATTCTGAAATGAACTTGTATGCAAAAAAAATTGTTTAATATAAATTTCTGGAGAGCATCACTGGTTTTTGCGTGTGTTGATAACATTTGCTTGTAGGCCTTTTTTCTAAATCGTCTTTTGTTCTTGTGTACATACGTTTGCTTTCAAGTGAAAATATGCACAATGGACTATCTTTACTATGTCCACCCAACAAATCAACCAACATCTTGTTTTGTTTTATTTTTCTAGTGCACACACCGTATGAGACACACTCAAGTAAATACATTATAAAGCTCTGAACATTTTAATTTACAAAATTTAAAACAAACTTTTGTGCTTGCTTACTTATTTAAAAACTGGGGAAAAAAAAAGGAAGACAAACTTTGTTAATCTGTCATATTTATGATAAGCAATGTTGTTCTGTTTTTTTATAATAAATACCAGTAACGCTAGGGATTTATTAATTTTACAACTGCTGTCTTATATATGTTACCTTTTAATATAAAAAAAAAATAATAACGATGATCTCATGTGTAAAAAACAGCAATATATGACATTATGGATTAAACCATTTAACACGTATATATCTCAATTCAAATGATAACTGTGTTTACTACCCATGTAAGTCATGTTACCATTAAATACTTCACACATCAGTATATTGATATCTAAGAGTCTGCTACGTGAAACAACGTTACTCTATAATTTGAAGTTTCATTTTGTTTACAAATTTTTCTTTAGAAAAGACATTTATCGAAGTAAGGAAATTATTCATGTTTCTCTATACACTGCATACAAGTATTTACCATTATAAAGGTCATACATAGAAACAGTTGGAAATTTTTTATTTCTCCATCATTCAGACTCTAATGCTGGAGAAACTTAGTTAAGTGCTGGAATTAAAGAGGTTTTGAAATGCCATTCCCATTGTTAACATTTGTCCCTCCATTATTAATAAAATGAGGAGCACGGAGGGAACATTTCGAGAGGGACAGTTCAGTGATTGGCTAAGCCTTAATGGAGACACTTGCACCAAATAAAATCTTCATCAATCATTGTTTCATATCAAGTTATTTTGATCTAATTCATAAATGATCAAATAACTTAGTTATATGATAGTAATACTATAAACTTCTGTCCTTATATTTATGGAGTTTCCCTTGAAACTTTGTGACAGTATGAACACTGATTCAGTTTAATATGCTCGTATTATCTAAGTATAAAAACTCGTGGTAACAGACACGAGTCAAGTCCAGAAATTTGAAAAAAAAAGGAAGCTTGCACAATGGGCTATCTGTGCTCCGTCCACTACTTTAGGGGGGGGGGGGGGAAACTGAGAAGGTCCTTTGCCAAAACAAAAAAAAATCAACTAATTAATTTCTGAGTAACTGTCAATACAGTTACGTGTTTTTTACAAAGGAAAAAATAAAATTTTTTTTAGGGAGACATCTCTTATAACAGTTAGGGCAAAAAAAAAACTTCAATTTTGTATAAGAGGCTGAAAAGGGCAGTTTGTACTGACCCCCCCCCCCCCCCCAACCATATGGGCAAGTGTGATCGAGGTAATCATACTAGATCCCTCTGCTGGCACCCGTTATGCATGTAATCTAGGACAGAGATTGGATGAAAATATTAAAGCAGTAACCAAAGAAAAGCCATATTATTTTCTTTCAATATAAAACTATTCTACAGGGTGTTCCAAAAGTTAATTGCCACAAGCGGAATGTCTTTACACACCGACAGAATTCACTCAAAAATATTTCCTTTCAAAATCAATAACGAAGACATTCAATCTAAATAACCTTCATATGTTCATCACTGCTCCATTTTCTACCAAATCTGCAAGAAAAGCTTATAAGTTCCTCGTCATTAAACCAACAATTGTCTTTTGGGACACTTGTTTGACTTTAAAACTCTTGCTAACGCACTAGACCTTCCTACGTATCAAACTTCATAGCTTGAAAATTTACTCTGAAGAGTTGGAAGGAAAATTCCAGTGAATTTCTTTTTTGTTTCAGACATTTACGAAAAAGGTACACAAGGGTTATTTGCACCAGCTGTCCGCTAGAGGGAAGGCAGCTAGTCAACAGGACTCACTGTCAACTCTTCGGTTAGTCTAACCAAATAGCAGTATTTGACCATCATTCTTATAATGGATCTTGTTTTTGCAGCAAACGGATGCTAACCACAGTCCGATACGCTGACCATTAAAGCCATATCTGATCAGGGTGTTTATGCTGGAAACGTTATATCAACAGAAAAGCTGACAGATTATTGTCTTGTATATGAAAAAACAACAACAAAGAATAAAAAACACATCTGAAAGTTTTGAAATTATTTTGTTGGTATATTCATGGATACATATATATGCACATTAAACGTATGAGATATACACAGTAATGGATATACAAAGGCAGTACAGAACACTGGCTTGGACTTTCAACTCTCTATAACTGTCACTACTTGCCTATTATACACATAAATTAACTCTGTATCACTTACTATCGTGTGCTGCGAATGTACTGTCAGAATACAATATTCATTTGTATGTACAGATGATATTAATCGTGTGCATAAACACGTTTACACTATAACACATTTTAACAGGTGTTAATCTACGGGTGCTGTCCGAGATCAAATTCACGTGTAAACATGGAGTTAATAAAGTAATTACACATATTACGTCTAGACTGTGACACTATCTTAATGCGTGTGTATTGCTTTTACTGTATCAATATTACCAGACTTATAATATCTGTAAACTTAACTAGCTAACAAGTTACATAATTCTATACATATATTATATGGCTATCCTATTCAGCTATCTTCACATTTTGTACATATAACCAAATGACTTTCAATTCAACTACTAAATGTCCTAAAACATAGTCTCCAATTTGAAGGAAATGAAAACATTGATCAAAATAAGATGTACTGTACGAAGGTTATAATCTTGACTTTTAATCAAAAGAGTGTTGTTTAATTAGATATGTAGCACATAGAAGAAAAAAAACCCTAAAAAGATGACACTTTTCTTATGATATGACTAAAGCTGGAAAAAAAGTATGTATCTATAGTCGTAACAGATGGGAACATCGAATATAGCTAATCAGGATTTCACAGAGTTCTGGATTCCCTGGTGATTGAACGAGACATTTATATTCAACAGTCGTGAGAAATGGAGTCTTCCCGCGTCTCTAACGTGAAGAAGATTTGATCCAATATTTTAAGATAAGGTTTTAAATGAACAGAAATACATGGATCTTAAGAGCAGAACATATATACTCTGGCATTATATATACTATAAAACTGGGTAATAGTATTGATAACTTAGTACTTTAAACTAAAATGAATGCACAATAAATAGTTGCATTCTTGTTGTATCTGTTTACTAAAAATGTCATCAGTGTTTGTTAGTTAGTCCAAGGCTTAGCTGTGGTACCTGTTTACTAAAAATGTCATTAGAGTTTGTATTAGTTAGTCCAAGGCTTAGCTGTGGTACCTGTTTATTAAAAATGTCATTAGAGTTTGTTAGTTAGTCCAAGGCTTAGCTGTGGTACCTGTTTACTAAAAATGTCATTAGAGTTTGTTAGTTAGTCCAAGGCTTAGCTGTGGTACCTGTTTACTAAAATTGTCATTAGAGTTTGTTAGTTAGTCCAAGGCTTAGCTGTGGTACCTGTTTACTAAAAATGTCATTAGAGTTTGTTAGTTAGTCCAAGG